TTACCTAAACCCAAAGAGAGTTAAAACCCAAATTAAAAAAGTAGAGGTGGCTATAACAGCACATACTATGAAACCCATGGGATTCTTAGAGAATAATTAAAACTTTCATTCCAATAAATTAGAAAATTAAGAGAAAACAAATGAATTTCTGGATATTAATATTCTACCAAAAGTGAGCTACAAGGTTATTTTAAAAAAAATAAACAGATCAGCAATGAAAAAAAGAATTGAAGAAATAATTAAAGGTGCCCAAAAAATAAAGAGCTGAGACTGGGAAGAACTCATTTCTGAATTGGACAAAACTTGAAAATAAAATATTATTGTGTAAAACTTACAAGGAAGGAATCCTTTTTTTAGGTCATTTTATGGGTATAGAATAACTCTGATACCAAAAATAGATGAGGATAAAGCATCTAGAAATCTTCAAAGTAATTCACCCAACTGGCATAAAAAGAAAGTCAAGAGTTAAAAATCACACAGTCTTCCCAGTAGATGCAACAACTAGTCCATTTTCAAGACACCAGTTACAAATGGTCAAGAGCACCATGCAAAGGTGCTCAACACAATTGGCTATTGAGAAAATGCAGGTTAACACTGTTGAAATTCCATCTCACCAATCAAAATGACAATCATCAGGAAAACAGACAGTGGCAAGGCTAAGGGAATAAAGGAACCTATATGCACAGCTGCTGTGAGGGTAAATGAGTATGACTATTAAGTTCAGAGTTTCTACAAAACCCCGAAAAGAAAACAATACACAGGCCAGGGGTACCACATCCGTGTACATGCCCATGGCATCAACGCTGACATTTGATAGACACGTCTCCATCACCATGCTGACCTCAGCAGTGCTCAACACAGCCGGCTGTGGAGCCGACTTCAGTGCCCAGCAGTGGAGGAGTGGGAAAAGAAGAATGGAAATATGTGCACACGGGACTTTTACTCAGATATTTAGAAAAGAATCGTCTTGTCTATAAAGAAATGTATGGATTTAGAAATTGTCAACCAATAGCAAATGATAAGACTGGGAGAAAAAAGGCTTTGCATGTTGTCCCTCATTTGTAGAATCTAGGGAAAGGACAGAAATAAAAGCAGAGAGGATCTAGCAAGAAGGAAGAGAGTCAGGAGGAAACATAGGGCTGGGTAGTACGGTGGATGAATGTGATCGGGTACATTATATTAATATATGAAAATGTTTCAGTCAGCCCATCATTTTGCAAATTTATTATGCACTAAAATTCCTATCTGTAAACATTCTTTCATATGTATTAGGTGCTCAATAAATGTTTTTTTTTTGTCTCAAAATATAATATTCTTGCCCTTCCTCTCCTCATTGGTATAAATATTTGCCTCAGTTTTGAAAACTTAGGATGTAAGACAATTCATTTCATGAACCTCCCTTCCAGTTTTACTAAGATGTACAAAATATTCCATCACTGAAAATATGCTGATTCTCAGAGAAGAGACTCAGCCTAGCAGGCAATCTACAGCTCAGTATTTGTTGTTTCTCCAGGTCTACCACAAGAAAGAAAATTCGTGTTTTTCTTTCCCTTGCATGGAAGAACTATACGCAGAAGCACAGCATGTGGCCTACAGAGTTTATACCATGAGCAGGAGCTATGTCTACCTTGAGACAGAGGCTGGCATCTTGCCCTGCAGCAAGATTCACACAGTTCAGGCACATTTTATTCTGAAGGGGCCGATCTTGTTGCTGCTGAGAGAGCTCAATTTTTACTACCTGGTGAGTTCTCACTCCAAGCTCAGAAATACAAAGAATCCTCTTATGTCCTGACCATGTCCCATGACACTCTGGGTTCTGGGCTGGGTGTTTTTGCCTGGGTCTCAAACGGTGGATTCTTCAGTTACAAGAGAGCCTGGTAAAATATAGATGTAAGCTTGGAAAATCCTTTTTGTTTTATTTAGGTCATGGCCCAGGGCAAAATCATCCATACTGGAAGCCACACTCACCACATGGAACCCAGCGAATGTAAGTGTTTCTCATCCAGAACCGTGTCTCCATCTGAGTTCTCCAATCCTCACCAGTGGGATCTCAGCACTGAGTATCTAAGGCTGCCATGGGGCTTGTATGTCTCCATAATTCTCTCCACAGTAGGAACTCAAGGTTCTGCCGTCTAATGAAGGTTATCAGTCATACCATGACCTTCAGGAAGAAGTCTCAGATTCCCAAACTGAGTGTCATTCAACATGGTAAAATATCTATTCTCAAGATGTAACACCTGAAAACACACAGTACTCTAAGATACACCCCAAGTGAGGCATCTATGCATTCACATACAGAATATCCACAACAAAGCAAAATGTGCTATCTTGGTGTCTGTCCAAAAATATATGGAGAATGCCAGCCTGGTCCTTAAATCATTCTAGCTACACGCATTTTCAAGTAACTGACTCTTTTGATTGTTTTAAAATATATGTGTGGTGCTGGTGGGTACGTATGTGCGTGTCAGTACAGCTGCTGTCAGGGTCAGAGGCATCAGATGCTCTGGATATCTCAGAGCTGGAATTTCAGAGCATTTTGAGCAGCCTGGTGTGGGTACTGGGAATCGAACTTGGGTCCTCCAAAAGAGCATCAAGTGGTCTTAACTTCTGAGCTCTCTCTCCAGTCCTTTTGTTTTTATTTATTCTTAGAAAATTACATATATGTATGCAATGACTTTTAATCATATATACTGTTAACTCCCTCCCACTCCTCCCTGAGTACCTCCACCAGGCTCCTTCTCTATTTTAGGTCTTTTTTTTTTTAGTTTATTGATTTCAGTGAGCTCTACCTGAATGTGCATGCAGTATTGGGCCACAGAAACTTAGAAATCTACCAGGCCCACATCCCTGAAAGAAATCTGACTCTTCCTACCTTCAGCAGCCATCAGCTGTCAATGGCGCCTCAGCTAAAAATGGATCTTCATGAACCCCTTCCCATCCATGCTTGAATGTTGACCAGCTTGATGTTGAAGGTCTAGGAGAGGGAATCATAGCTGCGGTGACTTTATGAGTGAAATCACCCTGTCATATCCTGATGATATCTGCTCAGTTCTACCATGAATTGAACAACTGTGACTCTCCCTATCAGGCCTCTTCCACCTGCTCCTATTTAAATCCCAAGTAACCACTGAATCCTGGCATTTTCGGTGCACACTTTCTTGACATCCTTTCCTTCCCGAGTAGCACCTACCTCATGCAAACATATTTTCTTTAATGTACCTATGTATTATCCACTTCTCCTCCTGCATTATCGACTGCATTGAGCACACAGATTTGCATATGTACTTTCACAAATATTTTCCAAGTAATCTCTACAAGTGGCAGGTACTTAGCACATGCTCAACAAATTGACTTTAACAGTGGCGTTTTTGTCATTGACCAATTATAAACACTGTTTAGGTATTTCATAAAATATCCAGTCAGTTCTTCTAGTTATTTCTTCTGCAAACACGAAATGGGACTCACAGCACCTA